TTTGTATGGTTAATTTTTGCAATATCTGGCAAGTTTAGATTATGTTGACATGCTTATTCTTATGATATGTTGAACATTTTGGGGAAGGGAGGAATACCTTTAGAGGCTGAAGAATGTTCTTTATCTCAGCTGTCAACTGTCTACTACAGTCATGTGCCACATGACAATGTTTTAGTCAATGAGGGAACACATATACAACAGTGGTCCCATAAGATTATAATACTGGGGCTGGGCGCCGTGCCTTATGCCTGTAATTCCAGCATTTTGGGAGGCTGAGGTGGGTGGATCACCTGAGGTCAGGAGTTCGAGACCAGCCGGGCCAACACGATGAAACCCTGTCTCTACTAAAAATACAAAAATTGCTTTCCCATCTTGCAAGATGGCGGGTGAAAAAGTTGAGAAGCTGGATACTAAAGAGAAAAAACCTGAAGCCAAGAAGGCTGATGCTGGTAGCAAAGTGAAAAAGGGTAACCTCAAGGCTAAAAGCCCAAGAAGGGGAAGCCCCATTGCAGCCGCAATCCTGTTCTTGTCAGAGGAATTGGCAGGTATTCCCGATCTGCCATGTATTCCAGAAAAGCCTTGTACAAGAGGAAGTACTCAGCGGCTAAATCCAAGGTTGAAAAGAAAAAGAAGGAGAAGATTCTTGCAACTGTAACAAAACCAGTTGGTGGTGACAAAAACAGTGGTACCTGGGTGGTTTAACTTCGCAAAATGCCTAGGTATTATGCTACTGAAATGTGCCTCGAAAGCTGTTGAGCCACGGCAAAAAACCCTTTGGTCAGCACGTGAGAAAACTGCGAGCCAGCATTACCCCCGGGACCATTCTGATCATCCTCACAGGACGCCACAGGGGCAAGAGGGTGGTTTTCCTGAAGCAGCTGGCTAGTGGTGGCTTGTTACTTGTGACTGGACCTGTGGTCCTCAATCGAGTTCCTCTGAGAAGAACGCACTGGAAATTTGTCATTGCCACCTCAACCAAAATTGATATCAGCAATGTAAAAATCCCAAAACATCTTACTGATGTTTACTTCAAGAACAAGCAGCTGCGGAAGCCCAGACACCAGGAAGGTGAGATCTTCGACACAGAAAACGAGAAATACGAGATTACAGAGCAACACAAGATTGATCAGAAAGCTGTGGACTCACCAGTTTTACCAAAACTCAAAGCTATTCCTCAGCTTCAGGGTTACCTGCGATCTGTGTTTACCCTGACAAATGGAATTTATCCTCAAAAATTGGTGTTTTAAATGTCCTAATAATCTAATTAAATAACTGATTAAAAAAATACAAAAATTAGCCTGTCCTGGTGGCAGGCACTGTAATCCCAGTTATTCAGGAGGTTGAGGCATGAGAATCACTTGAACCTAGGAGGCAGAGGTTACAGTTAGCCAAGTTTGCACCACTGCACTCCAACCTGGGTGAAAGAGTGAGACTCTGTCTTAAAAAAAAAAGTTTTAAATACCGTATTTTTACTGTCCCTTTTCTATGTTTAGATACATAAATACCATTGTGCTACCATGGCCTACAGTATTCAGTAGAGCATCATATTGTCCAGGTGTGTAGCAATATCCTGCACCATACAGCCCGGGTGTGCGGTCGGCTGTGCCATCTAAGTTTGTGTAAGTGCATTTTGTGATGTTCACAGGATGAAATCACCTAACAATGCATTTCTCAGACCTTTAAGCAACGCATGACTGTACTTGGGGAAAATGGTGAAAATGAGCCACCTGGTGACAGCTACTGTAGTTGCAGGGATAGGCTCTGGGGGCAGAAAGTCTAGGGAAGCAGTGCCTTGACAATCTAGTTATGTGGGATCTTAAATGATAGCAGCGGTGGGCCAAAGAACATCCAGAGCCCCCACTTAACCCCTGACTTCTCCACTGTGGCTAGTGGTTAGACTGGGAGCTTGTTCTACCTCCACTCTCTCAGAGAAAAATGGCACAGAAATAAAATAGTTTTTGTTGTAAATGCATCCAGAGAAATATATCAGTAAGAAAACCCCATCATCCTAACATCATAAAAGTCTGCGTTTCTCTTTACTCCTGGGAGGCAAACAGTAGACTATGTAGCTAGTTTTCAAAATTTCTCATGGGCTTTCCATCCCCGGATGAGCCCTCAGGCTAGTCCTGCTGCCTCCCTGAAGGGTGAATCAGGAGCACCCTGTGCTCTCTCTTGGCATGGTGCCTACAGGCCTGTGTGGCTCTCCCCTCAGTAGCCCCCCAAGACAAAGGATAGGCAGCTAGACTAAAGGAGGAATGCAGCAGGCGGAGCAATGTGGGTGCTAACAAGTGTCCCAGCCCATTACGCCTGTCATTTAAAGCACAAGATCCCCTTCCTTGAGAAGACTTCGAGGATTTCGCGTACGGGCATAGTGGCTCATGCCTGTAATCCCAGCACTTTGGGAGGGCGAGGCGCACGGATCATGAGGTCAGGAAATCAAGACCATCCCGGCTAACATGGTGAAACCCCATCTCTACTTAAAAAAAAATATACAAAAGATTAGCCAGGTGTGGTGGCACACACGCGTAGTCCCAGCTACTCGGGAGGCTGAGGCAGGAGAATCGCTTGAACCAGGGATGTTGCGGTGAACTGAGATGGAGACACTGCACTCCAGCCTGGGCGACAAGCGAGACTCTGTCTCAAAAAAAAAGGAAGAAAACTTTCTAGAATATGATCCTTTCACCTGTTTTTAGCATCAGTATTCTTTTTTCTGTTTGCTTGACATGAAGTCTCGCTCTGTCGCCCAGGCTGAAGTATAGTGGTTCCATCTCAGCTTACCCCAACCTCCACCTCCCAGGTTCAAGTGATTCTCCTGCCTCAGCCTCCCAAGTAGCTGGGATTACAGGCGTGAGCCAGCACACTCAGCTAATTTTTGTATTTTTAGTAGAGATTGGGTTTCACATGTTGGCCAGATTGGTCTCGAACTCCTGGCCTCAAGTGATCCACTTGCCTTGGTCTCCCGAAGTGCTGCGATTACAGGTTACCGCACCTTGCCAGGATTTCTTTTTTTGACTCAGGGTCTTTTTTTTTTTTTTTTTTGAGACGGAGTTTCGCTGTTGTTGCCCAGACTGGCGTACAATGGCACGATCTCAGCTCACCACAACCTCTGCCTTCTGGGTTCAAGCAATTCTCCTGCCTCAGCCTCCCGAGTAGCTGGGACTACAGGCGCGCACTACCATGCCCAGCTAATTTTTGTATTTTTAGTAGAGACAGGGTTTCTTGTTGACCAGGATGGTCTCGATCTCTTGACCTCGTGATCCACCTGCCTCGGCCTCCCAAAGTGCTGGGATTATAGGCGTGAGCCACCGCGCCTGGCCGACACAGGGTCTTACTCTGTTGCCCAGCCTAGAGTGCAGTGGTGCAATCACAGCTCACAGCAACTTCTGCCTGTTGAGTTCAAGCGATCCTCCCACCTCAGCCTCCGGAGTAGCTGGGACTCCAGGCATGCACCATAACACCTGGCTAATTTTGTATCTTTTGTAGAGATGGGGTCTTGCCATGTTGCCCAGGCTGGTATCAAACTCTGAAGCGCAAGCAATTCACCTGCCTTGACTTCTCAAAGTGCTGGGATTACAGGTATGAGCCACTGTGTCCAGCTAGCATCAGGATTTTTAAACCATCTTTCCTTCTTCATTTTTGCCCAGTTTTTATTGTAGTGGGGGTTATATCTAGGTTCCTCAAATTCAATTCTGCAAATACGGAATCAAGTACCAGGCTTTATGCTGAATGTTGCTGGACTACAAGGTGTCCCCTTACTTTCCGAGACCTTAGAAATGAACAAGGGGGAGCTGACCTTAATCAGAGTTGCTGGCTCCTCTGCAGCCTGAGAATAAGTATTATTGAAGGCAACATGCTAAAAGCAGAAGCAAGGGCAGGGGATGGAAAGATGCCAGAAAAACAGAACTTAAAGGGGGTAGTGGGATTTGGAGTCAGTAGAAAGGGCTGTGGGTGAGAACACAGGGGTCTCCATTTTGGCTACTGTTAAGGACTTGTTAAGTGTTGCTGGCTCAGCCTCTTAACTTCCCCAACCCTATGCCTGCTTTCCTGCTGGTGGTCAGCCTTTGCTGACTCCAACGAGGGTTAAAATGAAAGAAAACTGATTACATTGACAGCTTGGTGCAAGGCAGTAGACAAAACACTGACTAGGAATCTAAATACCTAGGTTTTGATCCCGGTTCTGTTCTTGCTGTCTTTGTGACCTTGGGCTAATCACAACACCTTTCTGGACCTGGGTTTGATGGTAATAGTAGTGTCTACCATGGCTAGCTCCTAGAAGGGTCCTGGGGGTCAAAGGATCTTTGGGGGACTGAGTAGGGTGTGCTGGCAGAAGTCAACAAATCTTTACTCCTGGCTGGGGTAAAGAGGAAGGGAGAAAAGGAACAGCAACTAAAGCAGGCTGACCAAGAGAGAAAGTTGACAGGGATGAGCTGGCCAGGAACCAAGCAGAAGCTGGGGAATGAAGTCGATTGAGCAGCACTGCCACGTGTGTCTGGATATACAGTTAGCCACAAAGATCTGGGAAGTGTTTTTCCAGCTTACAAATTGCTCATAACCTTGTGTGGCAGACATTATTAGTTTGCAAGATGGAGATACTACGCATTTTGACCTTTCTAGGTTGTGTCTACCTGGTTCATGCCTTGTCAGCCCAGTATGCCACATGCCTCCATGTGGCACATGTCAGATACATCTTGATATCAATACAACTAGCATCACCACAGCCCTTTTCTCTCAGAGCTCTCCCTTTAGGAGAGGGTCCTCTCTATATTCCCAGTCTTTGGCACAGGGTAGGCACTGAGCAAATGTCTGTCAATTATGGATCTTGTGAATTTTGAAAGAGCCTGCCAAGTCTTTGGGAAATGAAAAAGACATCTGTCTGAAATGGGTTAGGAATAAGTTTTTTTGAGGATAGGTTTATGAGTCTTCCTAGATCTATGATCCCATTATAAATCTGAAAATCTACCATTTTGGGACTAACTCTTCAAAATGAGAGTCAACTATGCTTAATTTAAAAAAAGTTTTATTAAATCATTTAGACTTGAAAGAAGTCACAATAGTTAACACACTTAAGTGTGTTCTGTACACCACCAACCCAAATGGATTGATTTCAGAATTTTTATAAATAAAACATAATCATATTTACAGTGAAAAATAAAAACATGTTAGCAAGTTAGATGATTAAACTGTTATCTATAATCAGTTTGGGGGAAGTACCAATCTACAGGATTACACAGAAGACACTTAAGATTTCATTAGGCTTAAAAAGTCCATAGTTGAAGAAGTTAGTTGTAATATATATGATCCATTTCTTACTACAGTTTTTTTACTCCCAAAACTAGACCTTTCAACCAATTTACATAAAAAAGCTTCATTTTCCCTTTATTGGAGGTAAAAGTACAAAAAGCTCTAAACCCACCCTAGAACCATCTAAGGAATAAAGCTATTTAATGCTTTAGGACTATAAAACTACGGACATCAACCGTTATACAATTTGTGCTACTTGTCCTCCAAAATGGTGCAGATTCCTAATTTAACCACCAGGGACAAAAATGGAGTCAGCTTTTTCTGGAAATCAGTTTCAAAAATCATCATATCTCTAGAAAGCGTATTTCTAGAACAATACAGTTACCACATGGGAGACTTTCCTTCTTCTGTACTATAAAAATATTTCCATTTTAGCTCTCACTATATATATTTTAGGGATTGCTGCTACCTCCATAGGCAAAAATGGTGAGGGTTATAAAGCTTGGCCAGCAGCCAGTTTCAAGAGACTAACAAACAACAAAGACAGCTCTTTCTTTAAGTATAGCAAAATTCAAGAGTTGGCTCAAATTAGGTTATGCCCACAAATCCAGCTTACATTTGACATTAAAAAGTAGTCCACAAGAAAACTGAGCAAAGAACAAAATTTTCAAGTCCGCAATTTTGGACAGGCATATTCTAAGAATTAGGCTATTATCTGTGTCACCTATTAGGGTTACTAGCACAACTTAAGGCTAATTGCTTGGCAAAGGGCTATGGGAGTTGCTGGACTGTCTTGAATGTTTTGTTCCCGATGAACTCATGGAACGAGACCGCTGTCTGAGCACTGTTTTTCCTGGAAAGTCCAAATCCTCAAATACAGCATTTTCAATGATGTTTGTAGCTTCAGGTCGTTCCATGGGGGATGGAGAGAGCATGTCTTGAACCATCACATACTGAAATAGAAAAATTGTTTTGTGATTAAAGGGCCAGGTTTGGTCATTGTACAGTTTTTAAAATCAGTGCTGGCAAATTTTTCTGTATATATTTTAAGTTTTTGAACCACATTTGAGTTTTCAAGTCTCTGATAAAACTACTCGGCTCTGCCATGGATGCACAAAAGCAGCCAGAGACAATTTGTAAACTAATGGGCATGTTTACATATGCCAATAAAACTTTATTATAAAAATAGGTGGCAGGCTGGATTTGACCTGTGAGCCCTAGTTTGCCACCCCCCATTTCAAAAAATCATTGACAATTCTTTGGTAATTTGATTTTCTAACATATTATACAGGATTATTTAGTCACATCATTGAAACATAGATATAATCTGATCAGCATCTTACAATTGTATGTAAATCTACAATTATCTCTATAAAAATTTTAATTAGAAAAAATTATAGCAGAGATCAGCAACTAACACCTTTTCTTTTAAAAGGTTTTAAAAAAATCTCTTTGAACATAACATATACTCTTATAAGCCACCCTGGGAATAGATTCATCAAGTTTGTAAAATACATGATGACAATTTTTAGTAAAACATATTTAAGTATATGTAGGTATTGTCATAAGTCCATTTTTTAATGCAATCCTTCATTATAATACTGAATGATAAATTTTGATTTTTTACCAATTTGAAAATGAACACAAACTAACTCACTTCAACTTAATTATTTACAGAAATTCAAGATTGATCAATATATAAACTTCACAGGTGTTACAGTATGGAACACTGGACATTAGGCTGAAGGAGCCAGGCCCAGCTCCAGTCTTTGGTTTTAATAAATTTTGTGCTGTTAGGAGTAGGTCCCTTTCCTCTCTAGACCTTAGGCTTCCTCATCTGTAAAACAGGGAAACTGAGTTGATTACTAAAGACCCCCTAAGTTCTAAAGATGATTCTAAATAAAATAAAAGATGAGAATTACACATACCTCACAAGGATATTTCTGTGTAAATAATGGTGGAAATTTGAGATTTCTTACATCAGTTAAGGTCTAAAAAGAAAAAAAAGTGTCACTCATTAAGTTTATTTTGACATACAGATCTGTTTAAACATAGAAATATGTTTTGATACTCTAACAAAATGACTAAGTGGTTGTATATTTATCAGACAGAAAACTTATCAATTGTTTTTTCTGATTTAATAACTATATATAAGTGTTTCCTGAGCACAGATGTGTACTCCATCAAATATCCTCAAAATACAGGAGAAATATACATGTATATACAGTTGGTCTTCCATATCCACAGATTCCACATTCAAGGATTCAACCAACCACAGAATGAAAATATTTTAAAAATTTAAAAATAGGCTGGGCGTGGTGGCTGATGCCTGTAATACCAGCACTTTGGGAGGCTGAAGTGGGTGGTCAGGAGTTCAGGAGTTCGAGACCAGCCTGACCAACATGGTGAAACCTTGTCTCTACCAAAAATACAAAAATTAGCTGGGCATGGTGGCACACGCCTTTAATCCCAGCTACTCAGGAGGCTGAGGCAGGAGAATTGCCTGAACCTGGGACGTGGAGGTTGCAGTGAGCCAAGATTGTTCCACTGCACTCCAGCCTGGATGACTGAGTGAGACTTCATCTCAAAAAAAAAAAAAATTTAAAAATAGATGGTTGCATCTGTACTGAACAAATTCAGATTTTTTTCCTTGTTATTATTCCCTCAACAATAGAGTATAATACTTATTTACATAGAATTTCTATTATGTTAGGTATTGTAAGTTATCTACAGATGATTTAAAATATACAGGAAGGTATGTACATTCTATGCAACTATTACACCATTGTATATAAGAGACTTGAGCATTTGCAGATTTGGTACCCACGGGGAGTCCTTGGTATTCACTCCTGTGGATAGCAAGATGACTGTATATGTGTGTTGGTATTTATAAATTTACATATATGTGTATATATGTGTTTGGGAGGGAGAGAGGGAGGAGGAGGGAGAGAGAAAGAAGGGAGGGAAGGAGGGATGGAGGGAGAGAAAGAGGGAAAGAGAGAGAGTGCCATATTAAAGCACAAGGAAAATATTGGAAATCTTTGTCTCTATGGAGTTGCCTATTCTGAGTATTTCATAAAAACTGAATCATACAAAAGCGTACTTTTCTGTCTGGCTTTTTTTACTCAGCATGTTTTCAAGATTCATCTATGTTGTGGCACATATTAGTATTTCCTTCCTTGTATTGGTTGACTGCTTTCCATTGTGTAAAATACCACAGTTTGTTTTTCCATTCATCAGGTGATGAGCATTTGGGTGGTTTCAACTTTTGGATATTAGGAATAAAGCTCATATGGACAGTTGTGTACAAGTTTGTGTCTGTGTTTTCATTTCCCTTAAGTATTACTGGAATTACTGGATCTTATGATAATTCTATCTTTAACTTTTTCAGGAACTGCCAGACTGTTTTCCAAGGCAGTTGCACCATTTTACTTTCCACCAGCAAAGTATGAGGGTTCCAATTTCTCCACATCCTAGCCAACACTTGCTATTTTCCTTTTTGATTATGGATATCCCAGATTGTGCTGAAGTGGTATCTCACTATGGTTTTGATTTGCATTTCCCTAGTGCCTAACCATGTTGAGCATCTTTTCACATGCTTATTGGCCATCTGTTTATCTTCTTTAGAGAAAGGCCTATTGCTTGTCCCTTTTTAAACTGAGTTTTTTTTGTTGTTGTTGAGTTGTAACAGTTCTTTACATATTCTGAATTCTAGATACTTTTTTGGATATAGGATTTACAAATATTTTCTCCCATTCTGTGAGCTGCCTTTTCACTTTCTATTTAATTAATTTGTTTAGAGATAGGGTCTCGTTGTATTGCCCAGGCTATTAGAAGGTATAGTCATAGCTTACCGTAGCGGTAAACTCCTGGGCTCGAGATTCCTCTTTCCTCAAGCTTCCCGCATAGCTGGGACTACAGCCACATGCTACTGCGCCTACCCTGTCTTTTCACTTGCATGATAATGTTCTCTGAGGCATTTATAACTATATAAATTTCGATGCCATCTGATTCTTAATCCTTTACTTAGGTTAGACCTGTTTTATTTTCCTTTCTGGAAGCTTTTAGGGCCTTTATTTCTGGTGTTCTGAAATTTAGTTATTCTGATTGCTTTTTTCTTTTCATTTATTGTACAGAACATTTGGCAGTCCTTTCAGTTAGAAGAAATGAGTCATTTTGCTCTATGTGAGAACTATATCCTCTTCTACCATGGCTGGAGATTAGTAAGTAAGACCTAAAACTGATAAAATGAGAAATGGTGACAAGAGTCTAAACTTTGAAAATAAGGAGGAAAGTACCAGGGACAACAACTAGAAGAGGTGAGGGTAGCTACTTATGAAGGATAGGGAAGAATGTGACAGAGGCCAACTTTATTTTCAGACAGTCTTGCTGTGTCGCCCAGGCTGGAGGGCAGTGGCACAATCATAGCTTACTGTAACCACCTCGAACTCCTGGGCTCAAGTCATCTTCTTGCCTTAGCCTCCCAAAACATGTGCTATCATGACCTGCTGATTTTTTTATTTTTTGTAGAGATGGGGTCTTACTATGTTGCCCAGACCTGTCTTGAACTCCTGGCCTCAAGTGATCTTCTGCTTAAGCCTCCCAAAATGTTGGGATTAGAGGTGTGAGCCACCATGCCTGTCCCAGAGGGCTACTTTAAAACAACTTTTAGTCATGCCTATAATCCCAGCACATTGGGAGGCCAAGGCAGGAGGATTGCTTGAGTCTAGGGGTTTGAGACCAGCCTGAGCAATATAGGCAGAGCCCATCTTGACAAAAAGAATAAAATAAAATTAGCCAGGTATGGTGGCATGTGCCTGTGGTCCAAGCTACTCGGGAGACTGAGATGGGAGGATCACTTGAGTCCAGGAAGTTGAGGCTGCAGTGAGCTGTGACTGTACCACTGCACTCTAGCCTGAGCAACAGAGCAAGACCTTGTTTTGGGGCGGGGGGGCGGGGGGAGAAAAAGACTTTCAGTACTATTTGCTATAAAGGCTGTGATCATGGTTTATTTTGAGAGAAAAAAACCCCTAATTGTACATAATCTGCCAGCTTTTAAATATATGAGTGTATAAATATTGTATATTATATATATAATTATACAATACTGTAGCCCCCATTAACCTTGTGGTTTCCCTAGAATTTTTACTTATTACAAATTTACTGAGTGTAAAATATTGTTAAATTATGATGAATTTAAGCAAAAACTAAGAACAAACAATCCAACCAAACAAGTTTTTGAAGACTGAGCTTTAAACGGAAGCAAATAGTCTAGAACATCTCCCTGTGTTACTCACATCACCTCTTTCACTTTTAGTTAACCAGCCTCCTGATATTAAGAACAATTAAGTCTTTAAAAAATTCTTTTGTAAATGTTAGATCATTTTGTTCCAACCTTTTTTTTGAGCAGGGAGGGTACTTACCCTGACTCTCTCCATCTGAGTGCTGAATGGGTACAGCAATTCAAATAGAATCAGGCCTAAAGAAAAGATGTCCACTTTATGAGAATAGCTGTTTCCATGAATCTGAAATCCCATGTAAAGAAAATTTAAAAATTAACATAGACACAGTACAGTTGATTTTACAGCATTATTGAATCCCAAAGTTTACTTAGTCACTTCTTGGTTTCAATGCAAGTATATGTGTAAAAATGTTAGCAAAGAGTTAATCTCCCAAGTCTCTTTTCTTCACTACTACACCAAGAGTAATTAAACTACTCAGCATTACAGAAGGAAAGCCCAGGTATAGCTCTGAGATATGCATCAGTAAAATAGGCCTCTCAGAAACCTGGAGACTTGCCATGCTAAAAAGTTTGTGGGAGCCAGCAAAATCTGCTTGACTACCCCTGAGGTGAGGTTTTTCAAAGGGAAGGCTATCTAAAGCAAATCTCTCATTTCTAAACATCTTAGTGCTCACCCATTTTTATGAGAAAATCTTCATTACTCCCAACCACTAATCAACTGTAGTTAGCCTTCATTATGGCTCTTAATTATGGATACTTTGCATTCTTGGTTGTATTTTTCATGTGTATATTTCTTATTCTTCACAACTAGATTATCAAGTCCTGGAGGGAAAGAAATGCTTCTTTTGTGTTGCTACCATCCAGCACTGGGCTAAGTACAGAGAAGGCCCTCAATAAACACTGATTTGTTAAAATGAACAAATAAATTAGAACAGAACTACTTGAGTAAAGAAAGCATTATTTAAATTAAAATTGACCTTTTGGTGACTCAGAAATACTCCTTTATTTGTGAAAATTTCTTTAGGGATATAATTTGACATTTGGGAAATAGCCAAAGAAGAGCACTTTGGAAATGCTCCATACCAATACTTCTTAACTGGGGAGTAGAGGTGGTCACAGGGCAGTTGTCAGCATTTATGATCCCTTCACAACCTCCCCTCTAAACTGTACTTGGCATCTGTCTTCCTGGCCTTCTGCACAGCCTGCCTGCCTCTATGCTTACAGAAGAGAAGATGGAAAGTTTCAGTGATCACATCAGCTGCATCATCCTCTTCCCTTCCAAGTGACTGTAGCAACCTGAAGCCTGACTCGCCTCTCATCCCTGGGGTTTGGGAAGTGTTAAAAAAAATGTGCAAAAACAATACTTATAGGAGAACTGAAAAGGACACCCTCACACACTATTTGGAGAATATAAATAAACACAAATTTATGAGAAGCGACTTGGTAATAAATGTTTACTCCTGCTATTAAGCATCTAATTTTACCCACTCTAGGGCAGATAAAAATGTGTGCAAAGATTTGGGTATGGGGATAGCTACCCAAGTGATATTCCTGATAGCAAAATTTACAAGTAATTAAAATGTCCCAAATGAATGTTGAATACCATGCAGCTGCAAATATTTTCTAAGAATATTTAATAATATGGGAAATGCTTATATTTTAATATTGTATCTAAAATTTTACAAAGTAGAATTCCAATTTTATTTTCTAAAGTAAGGTATAAATATATACACACACGCAGAAGGAAATAACTGCTGTTAATATTTTAGAGAAATTTTTTGGTAAGTGATTTTTACTTTTTTGTTATATGTCTCTATACTTTCCATATTCCCTACAGAGAGGACAGATTGATGCATTACTAAATTTGTTATTTCTAATATTACTATTATTATTATTTTTTTTTTGAGACGGAGTTTCGCTATTGTTACCCAGACTGGAGTGCCATGGCACGATCTCGGCTCATGGCAACCTCCGCCTTCTGGGTTCAAGCAATTCTCCTGCCTCAGCCTCCCGAGTAGCTGGGACTACAGGCGCACACCACCATGCCCAGCTAATTTTTGTATTTTTAGTAGAGATGGGGTTTCACCTCGTTGACCAGGATGGTTTCAATCTCTTGACCTCGTGATCCACCCACCTCGGCCTCCCAAAGTGCTGGGATTATAGGCGAGCCACCGTGCCCGGCATTTCTAATATTATTAAATATATTTTAAAAATAAATATAGCCTCATGAACACATGAAAATTTATGTTTAAAAAACATCTAAAAAATAAGGAATTAGAAGGTTTATATCCTTTCTGAGTTTGAACTGATTATTTAATCGCTGTGCAAATCTAGAACTTAGCCTGTGTTTCTTTATAATTACAACCAAGAACAAAGTAACCATGGGTCCTGCCCATTTGTTCCAAGGATGAGAAAATTAAGAGAGTTCTGATAATAATTTTAAAACAATGTTATACTATAGCTTCTAAGGCTTGTGTAAGATTGTACAATTCATACAGCTAAACTATTCTGAGCAACTTTTAAGGAGCACTTTATAAAGTGACAGTTTCTACTCTTAAAGAGGATTAAGAAGAGAATTAAGACTGTCCATTTTAACTACCAAATTTTAACTATTATACATTGCAATATTTCTACAGCTATCCTAACTTTCTAGTTTTTTTAACAATACCAAATATAGCATCAGTTGTCATCAACCTCGTCCTTTCTCAAATGGCAACCCGGTTCTAAGACACACACACACAGTAGCCACAAGCCACACTACAGTCAGCACAGAAGTGTGTATGGGGTGGCTAGTACTACCTGATGTTTATCTTTTTTCACTGGCATTCACTTTCACTCATCTACCAAATATTTATGAAACTATGCCATATTCTAGGCATTGTTTCAGGTGTTAGAGAGACAAGCTAAGTCCCATTCTGATAGTTTACAGGGGAAGAGAAAAATAATCTCAGAGTTAAAAATGCTGTAAAAAGAAACCAGTGTAACGGCATGGACCCTGGCAGGGAGTAAAGGGAGAGGCATCCATTTTAAATAGAGCTAGGTGGGAGGGGCTTCCCAAGTTGTGAGCCTTCATAATAAGCATCCAGATAGAATTCCTTTTATTTGTTTTCACAATATTTAAAATGTAAAAGTATTATTTCCAGCTTCTTAAATAATAAGTTTTTAAAAACACAATTAAAAACTTTTTTTTTTTTTTTAAGATGGAATTTCACTCTTGTCGCCCAGGCTGGAGTGCAATGGCATAATCTTGGCTCACTGCAACTTCTGCCTCCCAGATTCAAGCAATTCTCCTGCCTCAGCCTCCCGAGTAGCTGTGATTACAGGCACCTGCCACCATGCCCAGCTAATTTTTATATTTTCACTAGAGACAGGGTTTCACCATGGTGGCCAGGCTGGTGTCTAACTCCTGACTGACCTCAGGTGATCTGGCTGCTTTGGCCTCCCAAAGTGCTGGTATTACAGGCATGAGCCACCTCACACGGCCAAAAATACTTTTTTTTAAAGGGATCTCACTCTGTCACCCAGGCTGGAGTATGGTGGCATGATCTTGGCTCACTGCAACCTCCCCCTCTCAGGCTCAAATGATCCTTTCTACTTCACTCTCTCAAGTAGCTGGGACCACAGGCATGCACCACCACGCCCAGCTAGTTTTTGCATTTTTTGTAGAGACAGTTTCACCATGTTGCCCAGGCTGGTATCAAACTCTGAAGCTCAAGCAATCCACCTGTCCCAAAGTACTGGAATTACAGGCATGAGCCACCAGGCCTAAGCAAAAACGTTTTTAATATCAATTCTGATATATGACTGTGTAGAAAAATTAGAATATATAGGAAAATCCAAAATAGATTAAAATTCATTCAAAGTCCCCCTACTCAAGAGCAATGCCTGTTGATATTTTATGGCTCTTCTAGTCTTTTTTCCCTATAGATAGAAACATGTATTTATAGTATTTTGATATTTCATACAGTTTTAATTTTTCCTTTCACCAGGCCTTGGCCATATCATTTGAGCAGGATGATTCAATTACCAGGGCCAATAGATTTATTAATTTTTCTATGTAAGCCAGTTTGGATACTTTTGGTTGCAACCAATTGACTATATATGAAATTCTCTAATAAACAAAAATCTCTTCTGTATCCTTTCTAATTTCTAAATTTATTTGTGATTTCTCCCTCTTAAGTAGGTATCTAGCTAGAGAGGATTATCTTTATTTTAAACTATTAGAAACAACCATGGTGATGCTATTTTACTGTTTCACCAGTATCAATTTTTTTTTTTTTACCAGTATCAATTTTTATGTTTGTTTTCCATCTTCTTGGTTCCTCCCTGCCTTCTACTGAGCAGAATTCCAATCACTTATACAGCAATGTGCTTATGTAATGAAGTCCTGTAAAATAAATTTATCTCCAACTGGAACTCTGAAAACTTCCTATAAATGTCACTATTTTTCATTTCTTGCATTTTTTTAAAACAGTTTTTTACATTTTCTTCTAAAGATTGGGTTTCACTATTTTACCCAGGCTGGCCTGGAACTTCTGGGCTCAAGTGATCCTCTCAACTCATGATCCTGAGTAGCTGAGACTGTAGGCTCAAACCATGGTGCCCAGTTCCTTTCATCATTTTATTTCTTTTTCATATGGAACGCTTCACGAATTTGCATGTCATCCTTGCACAGGGGCCATGCTAATCTCCTCTATATCATTCCAATTTCAGTATATGTGCTGCCGAAGTGAGCACTCATCATTTTCTTAATACTTTGTATGAGTATTTTTACTTCATTATTGACCTGATAGTTATTATTTTTTAATAATTATTTTAATGTTTTTTAAATTCTGCGGTACATGTGCAGGATGTGCAGGTCTGTTACACAGGTAATATCAGCTATTAAACAGGTAACATAACCTATTAATTATGGTGGTTGACCCTTATGTCAAATTACTTATGGTGCCATGGTGGTTTGATTCTTACGTGGCAATTACATTCTCCACTGCCACATGCTCATGGGCAAAAGCAAAAAACATTTAACTTAAAATGTCCTTAGCAGTAAAAATTATTAATCTATTAAATCTCAACCTTTAAATACACACTTTTTTAATGATCTGACAAAATGGGAAAATATTCGTAAAAACATTCACCGCACCTGGCAGACAGACAGTTTCTTAAAGATGAACAATGAGACAGGGTATCATGGCTTACGCCTGTCATCCCAGCACTTTTGGGAGGCTGAGGTTCGAGGATTGCTTGTGGCCAGGAGTTTAAACCAGCCTGGGTAACACAGCAGGACCCAATCTCAAAAAAATAAATTAATAAATATTTTTTAAAGAGAAAAAAAGATAAACAATGTGAGAATGGCACTTCAAGGAAAACTAACAGTATTTGTTGTTAGTGATAAAAGTTGAGCTTTTAATTGAAAATTAAAATTTTGGAAGATTTAAATCTACTAGTGGGAATTTGATAGCCTCCTAAAATGTAAAGCCTTTTCTGGTGAGATTTGTGGTCATATTATTCAAAGTGACTTTTTATATTATATGAACTGTGACAACTTTTGGAATAGTTGCCAAACTTAGGGAACCAATAGTTTCCAAATGACTAATGCACAATATAAAATCAAGCATGGGTAAAAAGATCCATTCAAAGTACAAAATGGACCAAAGGATGTTAAAAGTACCAGAGTACAAAATATTCATGAATGGTTTTAGATTTCACAGTGTAAATGACTTTTAAGAAACTATCACTAAGTTTCGATATATTATCAAAGAAAAATATCTAAAATTACTTGAAATGTAATATTGTTCTTTTTCCAACTACATATCTGTGTGAGGTCAGATTTTCTCCATGTACTTCAGCCAAAATAACATTGCAATGAATTGAACACAAAAGCAGATAGGAGAATGTAACACTTTTATAAGTCCGCTACTAGAGAGATTGGCAAAAATGTAAACAAATGTCACTCTAATTTTTTTTTTTTGCAGGGGAATTGGTGCCTGTAATTTTTTTTTTTTTTTGGTTTAGAAAATACTTTTCATAAAATAAGATGTAATGGGTTTAATTCTGTTATTTTAATTGATTTAATAAAGCTTTTAAATTTCTCCTTTAACTTCTAATATAATAAACATTGATAGATAAAATTTTGTTAAGAAAACCTTTTGGGTTCTCAATTATTTCCACAAGTATAAATAGGTATTGAGTGCAAATGTCTGAGACCTGCTGCTCTAAGCATAAGGAAGCTTGTGAAGATCATTTGCCTGGTGGTGGCTGAGCATGCTCACCTGAAGCTTTCAGGATGCCCTGCTCCCACCGCTCTTCCAGTCCCTGCTCTGATTATAGTGCTTTTCCTGTGAAGGCCAAGTAGCCCACAAGGCAACACAGGCCAGCCTGTGTGCCTCTATTTCCTACCATGGTACATGCTGGAGGCTGCCTATGAATGACCACAGACGGCAGCCCAGTATAGTGCCTCTGGGTCTAGCTGGCTCTGAAAACAGTTCTGACATAATATACACAAGGCAAACCAGAATTAAATTTTGGAGGGTGGTATTCAAAGTCTCTCTCCAAATTCATAGTTGCTGTCAGGTGCTGGTTCAGGGGATGAGTGCATTTTATGTGTAGGATTTTTCTTAATCCATCCTCAATTCAGGTTGTAGAAACTATAGTTTAGCTGTGTTACTATTCCACTACTGGAACACTACTGCTAGTTTTCATAATTTTCAGACTTACTGAGTTTTAGATTACTGTATTTTTTAATGAAAACATTGGAAGAGATTGATCAGGTACATCTGCTGCCATGCTAATAAGTGAAAGTATAAAACACTCACCTGCTCTGGGCTCATATACAGTTTGGTCCCTACTTGTCCTGTGTGTCTGGCATAAGCTGGCATTGGGGTCAGAACTGTCTGCTCTTCCTCATCCTGGTCCATTGCAGTCACTAATCCAAAGTCTCCAACCTTGACCACATCATCCATTGTAAAGAATATGTTGGATGGCTGGAAAGAATACAACAGACAAAAGTACAGTGGATGTGCATGGAGGAGAAAGAGAATTATTTAAATTATTACAAAGAAAAAAATGCAATAAACTAGGTATTTTCAAGCATATTTCTCTTTAACATGGGCTAATATGAAAATAGTGACAATTTTTCAGTGCCAGACAAGTACTAGTGGCAAAGAAAAGCGAAGGGTAGCAAAGAGAACTAGTATTTATTGAACATCTACTTAAACCCTTTGAGATGCGCATTCCCTAGGGATCAGGGTACTTAATCCTCAATCTTATTATTCTATATATTCTTCCCAGGCAAGCATCTCTACACTTAGGACTTAAAGCCTTAATAATTATAACGATAACTAATAACAACAAGTTCATAAACAGAACTTGCAACATGCTAGGCACTGTTCAAAGCAGTTTACTACTACTAACTCATGTACTACAATCCCATTATATAGATGAGTACTAACTCCATTTTACAGACATAGAAAGTGAGGCCCAGAAGTTAAACAAATTGCCTAAGGTTACCCAGCTAGCAAGTGTGGAGCAGGGAATCAAACTTGAGCAGTCTGGCTCTATGAGAAAAGGACCTTGTTATCCACTGCCATGTGCCCAGCTTTCAGCTTTCAGTAGTTCTTGCTCTATGGTAGCTAATTACTATTTGGTGAATAAAAGAAACAGACTGATCTTTTGGTTTGTGTCTGGGAGGAGGACACAGATTATCAGAAGGGATAAGAGCTCTTAACTACTACTCTATGCTACCTCTTGTAAAATCTATATGCTCTTAAGACTACATCTACTCCCAGATCTCTGCCCTGAGTTCTAAACTCATATGAAACTGTTTATTGAATACATCTAACCAGATGTCTCATGGGTTCCTCAAACCCAAAGTGCCCTAGAAATACATCATCTTTGCCTCAGAGTCTACTCTGCCCGGCAGGTAATATGACCATTCATAGCCCTTGAAATGAGGAAAAAGAAAGCCATTTAGCTCATGAAATTGAATTTCATCATGTTTCAAATACTGCCAGAAAATAACATTTCATTCCCAAACTCTAAAATACCATTATATGATTTTGAGTTGGAAGCATGAAGTTATTGTGTATAAGATCTATGGTAATAATCTAGAGCTCTCCAATAAATAACTTTGCACCAGAGGCAATAATAGACTATCCTGCATTAAATGTCATCTTTCTTCCCCACTCCTATTTTCTGATAGCAGTTGTTATTTACTGAACCCTATAATAGACAAGCTTTTTGGCTCTCTAGTATCTATCTCTCTGTGCTTCCACCAGAAGTATCTTGACTTTATTTTGGGAACTTCCTTCATACTGACTGTGCAGCAAAACCCCATGGATAGTGTGAAAGGCATCCATGCTCTACAGTTGTTTATGCCAATCCACAGAATCCCATTGCCTGGCCAGAGACTGGGGTTGTTGAGGGATGAGTAGGTGTCCTTGGTTTAAGTAGAATAAAACTTCTGATAAATAGTGGGAGAAAAAAATACTTTTCTCTCTACCCTCTAACTCACCACCTCCAAAAGACTTAAATAGAAACAAGAAATAGGGAGGAGAGAAACCATGTTCTGGCTAAATCAATTCATCTCAGCTAAAGCTTTACCTGAATCCTCAACAGTTTAGTCACATGGTCCAACAGATTTCCTTTTTTGGTTAAGTCAGTATAAATGCTTTTGAGTGCAAACAAAATAAAATTCAAAATAAATGGTATGACCACCTAATCTAGAACATTTAGGCATTGTACTATAACAGGTGAAAAAAGCAGATATGGTCCATACCCTATGAAAACCATAGAATAAATAATCCAGGTGTGATGAGAATAATGAAGGACCAGGTTTCTGTCAGAACACTGTATATCAGAGGAACTGAGAAAAGCTCAGAGTGAAGAAAATAGAAGACTAGAAGCCAGTCTGAAGAGGTTGGAACCCAAGTCCTGATGACAAAAAATGTGACCAAAATATAACAAGGAAAGAAGGTTTAACACTGAGCTCAAAGATTTAGGTCAGAACAGAACAAAATGTATAGCTTTTTCAACAAGGAATAAAAATCTTTGCTTTTTTTTTTTTTTTTTTTTTTTTTTGGTTGGGGGCACCCCAGAAATCTTTAAAAGGAATTGTCTCTTATTTAGAAAGGAATAAAACCTTTCTGATTTCTAGAAAAACTAACAGGAATATTAACTTTTTTATTAAATTTTTCTGGTGCATAGACAAATGTAGAAAAATGTTTAGACAACATTGGAGCATTAAGTGGATATTTACCAATATCTCATTTACATTATAAAATTGGCAGAAGAATATTAATTATCAGTGAAAACATAATTCATTGTCTTTCAAGTTGACATTTGTGTGTACAGCAAGTGTTAAGTACAAGAAGAATGTGTATATCAGCTAGTTGTTTTCCACCTAGTGATAAGCATTTACCATATTCAAACCTAAATGCTAGTTTCTCTCAAATTAGGGGCATGTGGTCTCCTGTAAACTGTCTTCTCTAATCCAATGAAATAATTCATCTCTGAACTTTTCATTCAGTGGAGAACAATTCTTGGCAATCAGTTTGGGCCTACGTCAAAATCACTGAAGCATAATAATTATATATAACTAATAATTATATTGAAAAAATAAGAATTATTTCTAATTCCTATTCTTGTTATCCTAAAGCACTTAAAATATACTCAAGAATTTGAAAACCTATCGCTGATTTTAGAAGAAAACTTGTGTCCAAATAGTTACTTTTGTGCCTGAAACAAGTCTGTGGTTACATAAAACTGAAAAGATTTAAAATGGATCCACATCTATCAAGACTTTAAGCTACTTTCATCAGAAAAGTATTTATACATTCACTATGCATTGACTGATGACAGCTAAGAGTATATGGAATGTAGCAGAAACTACTTAAATACAATTTCCATGTACTTATTTTTAGAAATACTACTAAGGAAATGTCATGTTTTAGTAAGAATCTTAAGTAATTTTGCATATTACTATAATATTCGCTAGAATCCAAGGTTTTAGAGCTATAAATAATTATCTGGTTAACTATTTGCTACCTTTCCCCATTAAGCTTCTCACCTCTTCCCCCAAAGTCTAAACAGTTCAGAATAGGAGCAACAGTGTGAAGATTTGCCCAATTCAAGCTGGCTAATGAAGGACCCCAGGTCTCTCCTTCCATTTGGATCCCTTTCACCATTCTGCTTCAGAGCCCTGGAGGTATTGGTGTCAGGGTTACTCAAAACCATAGAAAAAAAAAAAAAAAACAAGCTATATCTGCTCATGGCAGATTTTAGCTAAATTTTTTTTTTTTTTTCTCACCTGGAATACTGGGAATACGTTTTACAGTAAAATAGAAGCAAACACATTGCCAAAGAGAATGAATGAATGCATGGTTTGCCTAAAGTTTTCAGACATAAGACTTCTTACTTTTGGAGCAGGACTCTTCAAGGCTACTTTCTCAGACCTCTGCTCTTAGATGCTTTTACTCTCCCCCACTCTTAAGGGTCCTTCAGAGTACTGTAAGTACTGCTCTGAATCACAAAACGTCAGATTGAAACCCAAGGGCGATGCTCCACAAATACAGACCTTGAGGTCCCTATGCATCAATCCTTTACTGTGAAGAAACTCCACCGCCTCTGCAATCTGCAGGAAGATGTGCAGACACATGCCCCTCTCTCTATCCTCTATGGTACATCGTCTATTCATCCAGTCTTTGAGGTTTTCTTTTCTGCACAGCTGCATCTGAATGTAAAGATACACCTTTGGTGAACTGGGCTGGAGTTTTTCTGTGGTGTTTTTACTGAGATCTAAACTTAAAGTGGTTGGTCTTGGAGGAGAAATAGATAACGTAGCTTCAGAAGAAGATCTGCTACTGGTGGGCTTGAAAGCAGTGAGTTTATTAGAATGGTTGCCAATATGCAACCGATTAGTTTTGGGCTCTTCTTTACTGGAAGCATTATCACAGCCAGAGTCTTCAAATACTATTGAAGAGGAGGTTCTCTCCCTTGACCTTACATAAGGAGAAGCTTCAGAAGGACAAAGTTCAAAGGAGTGTCCCTCATCATTGCCATCCATAGTACCATCTTCCACATCACAGTCTGTAAGGCAACTGTCCTGGAGGTTGTATGCTGCATCCACTGACACACTGATGTCTCCATGGTCCATTCCTGAGAATTCCAGTGGTGAGAACTCATTCTCAGATGAACTTGTCTGGCCACAGGAAATCCCTACTGAAAAAGACCTGCTTCTTTGTGGTGAAGGAGCTATGATTTCAATATGTTCTTTTGTAGAGAAAGGATCCATTCTGCATATTTTAACTGATGGTGCATCCATTGGACTAGGGGAGCTGAGTGGCCAGTCTGTACTAAAAGTGGGAGAAATACAAAGGGATAAGAGTGAATATATATTGATTAAAGTACCTGAACTGCACCCTCTGTTTAAAGAGCTTCAACTATAATAAAGCCACTTACCAAATGACAAACAACAAAACAACATACAAACTAAATAAAAACATACAATGTGCGATAGAGATCATCACATTCCATTTGTTCCTTCTAAAAAAACCTAATTTTAAAGCTTAATTTTATACATGAAACAGTTACCTGGGACTGTCTGGGGCTGTCACAGCAGCCAAAGCCTTTTATGTAAAGCAAGGACAGGATTCCTCAATGACTGTGATTCTGAAGCCCTAATCCAAATTAGGGAAGCACCTCACAAGGCCTTAAGATAAGCAGCCATTTCATTTGGACCTTCCATGGCTTAGTTATTGGTTGAGCCTATAATAAGCACCATTTTAATAAGGTACCTTAGGTGGATCTAATGTTGCTTAGGTACCTGTAGGTAGGAGTTTTACTCCAGTTGTTTGGTGGCAGTCTACCTATATATGCTTCCTCCTTATTCCCCTTTAATAGTCTTTCTTTCTTTCTTTTTTTTTGTGCATAGATGATCAAAAGGAAGTTGTGATCAAGTTTGGATTTTTTTTTTCTTTGAGGCGGAGTTTCACTCTTGTTGCTCAGGCTGGAGTGCAATGGTATGATCTTGGCTCACTACCACCTCTGCCTCCCGGGTTCAAGTGATTCTCTTGCCTCAGCCTCCTGAGCAGCTGAGATTACAGGCACCTGCCACTACACCCAGCTAATTTTTATATTTTCAGTAGAGATGGGGGTTTCATCACGTTGGCCAGGCTGGTCTTGAACTCCTGACCTCAGGTTATCTGCCCACCTTGGCCTCCCAAAGTGCTCAGCTGTGAGCCACTGTACCGAGCCTTCCTTTAATAGTTTTTAAATAACCTTCCTTCCTATAGCACATCATAGTTAATATGGGCAATATCTTTGGGCTAAGTTTATGTATTTTTAACTGCAAATAGTTCAAAACTACTTTAAAAGGAGTTGTAAATTATTAACTGCTAAGAGAATAACCAAATAACTAACATTTTTTAAACATGGAGACAGAAGAAAATACCTTATACTGAGAAAAGTCACTATAAATCCCTCAGTTAATCACAATGTACAGAGCCCTATCAACTAATAATTTTTGTTTTGTTTTGTTTTGTTTAGAGACAGAGTCTCTCTTGCTCTGTCACCCAGGCTGGAATTCAGTGGTGCAATCTTGGCTCTCTGCAACCTCCACCTCCTGGGTTCAAGCGATTCTCCTGCCTCAGCCTCCTGAGTAGCTGAGACTACAGGCACATGCCACCATGTCTGGCTAATTTTTTTTGTATTTTTAGTAGAGTTGGGGCTTCACCATGTTAGTTAGGATGGTCTTGATCTCCTGGCCTCATGATCTATCCACTTTGGCCTCCCAAAGTGCTGGGATTACAGGTGTAAGCCACCATGTCCAGCCTTAACTAATAATTTTTTAAAATGTAAATTCTCTTATTTTTTTCTAAGAGACAGGTTCTCACTATGTTGCTTATGTTGGTCTTGAACTCCTGGGCTCAAGAAATCTTCCCACCTTGGCCTCCCAAAGTGCTGGGATTATAGGTGTGAGCCACCCCTGTATGTTCGCAAAATCTAAATCAAAATTTCACAAGTGGCTAGAGAACTTTTTAAAACATGAAACAGAACAGAACTCTGCCATTCCTTAAAAAAAAAAAAATCCCTAAAGTTATAAAACTGATATTGTGATCACACAAGCAAAAAACTAGCTTAAGTCTACGTGGAACAAAGTTAGTTACCTTTCATCTTTCAGCCAAATTTCATCCATCTTTTCTTGCCACTTCTCTGGTGGTGCTTCAAGCCAGGCATTGAAATATCTAACAATGCCTGGGTGCTCAAGTTTGGCTAAGGCTTTAACTTCTCGCATTACCTTTTCCCGAGCCAATTCCCTGAAAGAGAAAAAATATTTAAGGTGATGGATATTCCAATTACACTGATTTAATCTTTACAAATTATATGACACATACCCCTAAAATATAGATGCATTCCATATCAATAGAAAAGGAAAATTAAAAAAATAAAATTAGCCAGAAAAAAGAAAGAGAAAGTAAGACAACACTGAGGCCTGTTTATATGTGAAGTATTCATATTCAATAGTGAAAACAGAAAAGTAATAAAATAGGATCCCTTCTTGAAACTGAAATTAGAAACATATGAGTTAGCCTAGGGTATACTTCTTTTTATTTTTTGAGACGGAGTTTTCCTCTGTCGCCTAGGCTGGAGTGCAATAACGCAATCTTGGCGCACTTACCTCTGCCTCCAGGGATCAAGTGATTCTCCTGTCTCAGCCTCCCAAGTAGCTGGGAATGCAGGCATGCACCAATATGCCCTACCTTTTTAAAAATTTTTTTTATTTAATAGAGACAGGGTTTCACCATGTTGGTCAGGCTGGTCTCGATCCTCTGACCTGAGGTGACCCACCCACCTCTGACTCCCAAAATGCTGAGGTTACAGACGTGGACCACTGTGCCCAGCCAGTCTAAAGTATACTTCTAAAAGGCCACACAAAAAATATTTCGAGTCTTTCAGTATTCGAGTATTTCAGTTTTTTTTTTTCCTTCTGGAAATAAATGCTACAAGTGCATCTACTGCACATGCAAATAAAATTTTCTTGGCTGACTAAAAATGAATCATTACAGACTCTTAAAGATTATTGCTTAACATTTGTTGTCAATGGGAGGACAAATAGGTATGAGTGAGATATTCAGAAGAGACACTAGCATCTTCACTCAGGAACACGGAGAAGGACCACTCCAAAAGCATACACATTACAACCTCACAAGCTTGTACTAGCATGTTGTTTGTATAAGCCTCAACTATACAATATCATAGGCAATGAAATTTTAACTAGAAAGACATCTGGATTTTATCTTCTGCTTTCAAAACTTTTCTGACGGACCTAATCTCACATTTCTAGGGATCCCATCATCCCCTAAGCAACACAAATAAATGCAAATTGCATCTATTTCCCTCCCCATGAGAACACCAGCTACTCTGATTTTTTTCCTCTGTGCTTTGTTATGTTATTAATGTCCCCTGCTCTCTCATTCTAAGAATCCTAGTACGTTTCTAAATTAACAACTTCTAGGTACTCACAGTCAGTTACCAAATCCTATCAGCTCCTCCTTTTCAATTCCTTACACTCAATTCTTATTTTAGGACTAAACTGTTGCCAAAAGATCTCATGAACATTCCTGTCTTTTGTCCTTTCCTTGCATCAGCCATCTACACGCTGCTACCAGAGTCACCTCCACTTTGATCACATTGCTTTTTCTATTCAAATGTCTACAAAATAAGATACCAACTTATTTGCTTGGCATTTAAGGTGCTACAAGCTATTTTTTTCCCCCGGAGATGGAGTCTCACTGTGTCACCCAGGTTGGAGTATACTGATTCGATCTCTGCTCACTAACCTCCACCTGCCTTTTAATAGAAATGAAATTTTTGTCATGTTGGCCAGGCTGGTCTCGAACTCCTGGCCTCAAGTGATCCACCCACCTAGGGCTCCTAAAGTGCTGAGATTACAAGCATGAGCCACTGTGCCTGACCAACCTATCTTTTTCTTCCTCTCTTCCATCCTCCCCCATTCTTACCCTTTGCTCCACCTATTCCAGAACTCTCACCATTCTCCATACCACCTCCAGCTGCTTGCAAGAGCCTTAGCTCAGGCCATTTTATGCACTTGGCCATCCCTCCCATACCTGTCTCCTGAGGTAAAGGCTACTCTTGCACACCCAGAGCAAATGCCTCCATTTCCACAAAGTTTGACTTCCTTACTGCCTTTTGGCCACATCCACTCTTCTTCATGAGAAGTTGTTAATACTTAATTGAGATGAAGCAAAGGTCAAAATCTTCCTTGCAATGTATTTACTTGAGTACACATACAAAAGCACCAAAAAGGTACAAGCTTCTTGAGGGGAGAAACCTTGCTTAGTTTTTATAGCCTATGTAGTACCTGGCACATATGAATACTTAAACTACTCAAAAGTTATTTACCAAAAGAAAAAAATTAGTTCCTGAGTACGCAAACCATCCAATTCCTGTCCCTCCCAGACAGGAATTTGAAAAAACTGTGACTACCAGATAAGATGGTAGCACAACAATTAGCATGCGTTTAATCAAGAATCAACAAGAGGCCAGGCATGGTGGCTCATGCCTGCAATTCCAGCACTTTGGGAGGCAGAGACGAGTGGATCATTTGAGGTCAGGAGTTTGAGACCACCCTGGCCAACATGGTGAAACCCCATCTCTACTAAAAATACAAAAATTAGCCAGGTATGGTGGCTCATGCCTGTAATCCCAGCACTTTGGGAGGCTGAGGCAGATGAATCACCTGAGGTCAGGAGTTCGAGACCAGCCTGGCCAACATGGTGAAACTCCATCTCTAGTAAAAATACAAAATTAGCCAGGTGTGGTGGTACACCCCTGTAATCCCAGCACTTTGGGAGGCCAAGGCAGGTGAATCACCTGAGATCAGGAGTCCAAGATCAGCCTGGCCAACATGGTGAAACCCTGTGTCTACTAAAAATACAAAATTAGCCGGGTGTGGTGGTATGTGCCTGTAATCTCAGCTACTTGGGAGGCTGAAGCACGAGAACCACTTGAACCAGGGTGACAGAGCGAGATCCTGTCTCAAAAAAAAAAAAAAAAAAAAGAAGCAACAAGAGCCTTCTACATAGATAGAATAAAAGGTGTTGCTAGAAACCTATTATCATCTTAAGCATCACAATGCTCTGAGTCAGAAATCACACTTCTAGGAATCTATCCTAAGGAAACAGATATCATCAATATATATATAAAAAGATGATACAGCAAAGTTTTTTTTTATGGTAAAGTTATTTCTAAAATTGTAACAAATTAGAAACCAAATTGTTTATCAATACAAAATGGTTAAATATGGCATGTGTATTAAATGGACTATTACCAAGCTATAAAATACTTTTAATATATTTTTAAAAATTGTTAACAACATGAAAAATATAAAGGATATGACAAAGCAACAGACAAAACTGTACAGTACTGGTGACTGGCTACCAGTTAGGTAAATTTATGACCAGAAAACAAAATCAAGGCCAGGTGTGGTGGCTCACACCTGTAATCCCAGCACTTTGGGAGGCTGGGGCAGGCAGATCATGAGGTCAGGAGTTCGAGATCATCCTAACATGGTGAAACCCTGTCTCTACTAAAAAAATACAAAAATTAGCTGGGCAAGGTGGCAGATGCCTGTAGTCCCAGTGACTTGGGAGGCTGAGGCAGGAGAATCTCTTGAACCCAGGAGGTAGAGGTTGCAGTGAGCTGAGATTGTGCCACTGCACTCCAGCCTGGGCAACAGATTGAAACTCCGTCTCAAAAAAAAGAAAGAAAACAAAATCAAAATACTCTAAATTAGCCGGGCGTGCTGGTGTGCCCGGCTAATTTAATTATTACTGGGTAGAAACAATACTTTTCAAATGTTTTTGTTCTAGTACTTTTCCTTAATTACACAAAAATATAGAATTATTTTAAAATGCTGCAATTTATTGAAGTCTATAGGAAAGTTCTGAGTTAAGAATCAAAAACAAGGACATTTAAAAGTAGATAGCAACCTAACAACTTTTAGACAGCTGGTTACTTGGCAGCACTTAGAAACTAAAATTTTAAAGGTCTGAAACTGTTTTCTGTGGTGCTTACAAAGGGTAAGAAGGATATTTTACCTATAAGATTAGATCACATTGTGCTGATTTCAAGTTTACCAAAGGTACACCATTACCTATTGGGGAGACGGATCCTCTTGATAGCATAATTGCAGTCATCTACTTTGTTTTTAGCTTCAAAAACAACTCCAAAGCCGCCACGTCCCAGACATTGAATTGGTTCAAAATCAGTTAGATATCTTTAAAGAAAGGTAAAATTTATAAAAATTTGCAACAGTTTTAAATTTTGTGGTAAGGTGAAAATCAGTTCAATCTTATGACACATAAAAATGTATAAACTCATAAAACTCATCTTAATAAATAGTATATTTTGAATTTGATTGACAGCATTTTTAATTACTCTGTTCGTAGAAATAAAGCAAACACAGTTATAAATTTCCTAGAAAAAAATTTAAAATGAAAAATATGTGTTTAATTGGGAATCTCTTGTTAATCACTTGTTCTTATAGCTATTGCACTACTGATTGTGCTGTCCAATACTTTCTATCATCTACCAAAAGATCATATTCCTAATTCTCAAATCTTTTACATTCTGTCACATTTTGTATACAATTACAGAAAATTTATTTTTATCTTAGCTAATTAACTATAAATTTTATGGGAAAAATCAATCCCATTATACCCAGGTATTATTTTAGCCATAAACTTTCCTAGGAACCAAAACTGATACGGGCTGGGTTTCCTCATGAGTCAGTTTACTTACCACTGGAGGTACCAAGTCAGACAGAAGCCAACTTGCAATCTGTCACTTACAGGGGCCTCCACTCAGCAGCCTGTTTCTCCCTTTAGTGCTGACTTCACGTACCTGCACTGTACAATCCAGTCAATTTGCACCATGCAAAAAAACCTCATAATTTCAAGGTTTTGCTTCTGCTTTCTGTTTCACTGGGATGGCCTTCCTCTTTGCTTTTAAAGAACCCTATTCTTTTTTCATTCTGCTGATCTTACCATCTCTGTAAGGCTTTCTTAGACCATCTCGACATTCCCATAACACTCTGCACATAATACTCTGAAGCATTTAAACTTAATTTTTTGCAATTATTTGTAAGCAGCTCCGTTGTTCCACCACCACTGCATTATGGGGGCCACGAATGGAGAAAATCATTCTTGTTTCTCTTTGTATTTCCAGAGATTGGGCACTACCTGGGAAACTGAAAGTCTAATAAACGTCTGCTGAATAAATGCATTAATTAAGAAATGACTTACATACTCATTAATTTAGTAGTTGCCTCAGCTGGTTAAAACATGAAGTTAAGAAGAAGGAATAGATTTCAACCTTCCATGGGCCAATTATCTTCATAGAGAATGAAGAAGAAGGCCGGGCACGGTGCTCACGCCTGTAATCCAAGCTCTTTGGAGACCCAGGCGGGCGGATCACCTGAGGTCGGGAGTTCAAGACCTGCCTGACCAACATGGTGAAACCCCATCTTAAAAAAAAAAAAAAAAAGAGAATGAAGAATAATAATCTGTATTTCTAAAAATAGCCAGTCAAGATACCTCAGTAAAAATCGGTCTCCCCAAACGCAAAAGCCCACAAAGTTCATGTCCTACTTCTGGAATGCCATATTAAGGAAAACACCTATATAAAAACAGATTATCTTCCAAAAAGAGTAACATCTTATATGTGATTACAGACCCTAGAAATATAAGTATCATCTTTGCTTAAGTTGTCAGCTGATAAATGACAGAGCTGGGATTTGAACTCATGACTAAATGAAGAGTTCATGCTCTTACCAGTGCCTAGGACATCGGTGCCACTAAAAAACATTAGGTATTATTATAGAACTCCTGTATTTTTTTTAAAAAAAGACCCAATAGCTGCATTCTTCATACTGAATAAACTTAAAGAAAAACCTCATTTAAGTCTAATTCAATTTTGAGTATATTCTAATTTTCTTGACAACAGTCTGACAAACACATCTTTATTCATGACACCACATATATTTTACTCCCAGAACCTCATCTACTTGCCAAACTCTTACTCACAAGTTAAAATTCAATTCAAATATGGCTTCATTTGTGATGCCTTCCTAGATTATCACAAACAGATTTAGTGATTTGGTTCATGACTTTTTTCTTATATGTTTGACCCAGTAGCATCTTTCCCACAGACTTCAAGCTTCTCTAGGACAGGAGCAGTCTTTTTATTTCTCCCAAAGCCTGAAATATTGACCTGCACACAGCTGTTCAGAATAAATGTTTAATGAACAACGAGTGACTTCAGTAGTAGACTACCTCATGGGAGTTGTTGGATTCTTTATTGTTGCCCTTTCTCTCACTGCCTGCTGGTATTGACAGTCACTGACATATTAGTATTTTTATTTGCAAGGGTATTAAAGTAGCCTTTACCATTTGTTAATCACCTAGTAAATTTTGTTTATGGAATTGACTCATTTTACCTGTTCCTCACCATCCTGAAGCATCTGGTTTGATAGAAAGGTAGAATGGCCTTTTGAAGACTCCATTACACTGCCAGGTAGGTACCTTGCAGGGCTGGAGCAAGGTTCTCCAGAAAGCTGTATATGCTCTGAATCAGTGTCTAATATGTAGCATGGTTTCTCCCATAGCCAGTATTTACAGGTCCAGGAATAAAGGGATGAAAATGGGAATGGCATCACTCACCATTACCCCTGGTGATCCAGTAGCAAAATTTTTGCTTCCTGCTCCTGTGAACTTATGGTTGGCTGGCCTAGAGCTCTTAGTCTAAGAGGGGGGAACACTTCCACCAGGAGATACAACAATGATGCCACTAAATTGGAAGTTAAGCCTGCGGCCCAGCAACTTTGAACTCCTCATACCTTTGAATTAACAAAGAAGAGAGATACTGTGCTGCCTAGGTGACTAATCGTGACTACCAAGGATTGCTGCTTCACAATGGAGGTGTAAGAAAGAGTAGGTCTGAAATACATGAGATCCCTTAGGGATCTCTTTGTATAATCATGCCTTGTGATTAAGGTCCATGGAAAACTACAACAATCAAATCCAGATAGAACTACCAATCTCCCAGACCCTTAAGGACTGTGGATTTGGGTCACCTCACCAGATAAAGAACTACAACCAGCAGAGGTGTTCTCTGATGGCAAAGGGAATATGGGATGGATAGGGCAAGAAAGTACTTATAAATACCAGCTGTGCTCACATGACAGGTGACAAAAATAACTAATTGTCACAAGTATTTCCTTAATTTGTTGTGAATATGCTTGTGCATTTATGTCTATATAGAAGTAGATATAGTGCTCGCTTCGGCACCACATATACTATACAGAAGTAGATATATATAGATATATGCATATGTATAAACTATATATGTACATCTTGTCATTTCAGTTTCCTTGGAGAGCCTAATATACATATTTACCTATGATTTTCAATCTTTTCTCCCATAAAATCATTACCCTAGATATTAAGCAGTATAATTCCATGTATTTTCCTTGTCCCTGTATCACTAAAGTGTTAAGAAGGATGCTGTCAAGACAAAGAGAAGAGTAGGTATAATCCATGTAATATGAAAAATAAACCATAATACAATGTCGAGTATCACAATGCATCAAAGGTGATATTTTATACTTGAGAGATTGCTAACAGCTTCTCTACTTTTATTTTACTTTTATTTAAACTGCCTACTTTTAGCTAATCCACTCCCCCTTTTGCTTTTAAAACTAACTGTTCTGTTAGTGTTTTTTCCCTGTATTTCTACTTCCTATTATGGATAGAACAATAATGGAAATAAATGAAGATTCAGAAACACGTGGAGATTTATATTATACTCTTATAAACACAATAATTATTATTTGGTACTATAAATGCTAATCCTAGTATATAGTAGACCCTGAATGGCTAAGTTACTTGAATAAGAACTTAATTTGGTAGCTTAAATTCTATACTCCTATAACATTCTATTTTTATCTTTGTTAGGGTATATACCATTTTTATTATATTTAAGTTACTGGAATTTATTTATTGATTAAGGGTTAAATCTATGTTTTATTTATCTAGATATCCACAGGTTTAAAAAAAAAAAAAAACAAGATCTTAGGTCATTTTTTTCTTTGATTAAAATGGTTGCCATCAGAAGCTATAAGACACATCTGTATTTTATAACACTCTTACCGTGATATATATCCAGAGTTTTTTATGTCATTCCAGCTACTGTCATTGGCTTCACCACTTACAGAATCATATTTATTTTCAGTTTGACACTGAGTTTCAGACTCCTTCCTTTGCTGATAAGGTAAAAAACAAAATTACTACCAGTACAAAGCTGAACTGAAGTTAGCTAAGATTCTTAGGTTATAAAATAAATAACACTGAAAAATAAATAAGCAGCACTGAGAAAAATAAAAGCATCATGAAAATAAAATGCAGCACTATGCTTTATTATGAAAGAAAAACAGTTTATCTTCCCATTGCTATCCCTCCAGTCTTTGAGGGGATTTTGTTTCTTTATAATAAGGCTATGTCATATGTACGGCACGATACATAACTGGATATAAAGAGAAAGACAGTGCACACATGTAAGCATAAATATAAACTCCTGGGCAAGACTAGAGTGATTTGACAAAATGAGGTTGGAAAAAAAAAAAGCAAACAAACAAAAAACCCAGTAACAACAACAAAAAGACTAGAGTGATTTCTTTCCCAACCAATTTTGTAGACTGCATTAAAAATGCTTTCAATAAGGCCGGGCATATTGGCTCACGCCTGTAATCCCAGCACTTTGGGAGGATGAGGCATGTGGATCACCTGAGGTCAGGAGTTTGAGACCAGTCTGACCAAAATGGAGAAACCCTGTCTCTATTTAAAAAAAAATGCTTTCAATAACAGGAAATTAAATTAGGCAATGTCTCTTTACCAACGTCTCCTAAAAGATTTTCCAGAGGATGTTAATAATTATTATTGTCAAATGGGGGCACTGTGGGTCACCTGTTTAGTCATTGATTCAACAAATCTATACTGAGCTCCAATTACATGCCAAGCACCGTGTAAGGGGCTGACAGGATGGTGGCAAACAGTGTAGACTTGTCCTTGTCCTTAAGAATGTACAGTCTAGGCCAGGCGTGGTGTCTCATGCCTGTAATCCCAGAACTCTGGGAAACTGAGGAGGGCAGATCTCTTGAGGCCAGGAGTTTGAGACCAGCCTGACCAACATGAAGAAACCCCATCTCTACAAAAAAATACAAAAAATTAGCTGGGTGTGGTGGCACATGAGATCACTTAGGGATCTCTTTGTATAATCATGCCTTGTGATTAAGATCAATGGAAAACTATATTGATCTTAATCAACCTCTGGGAGGCGGAGGTTGCAGTGAGCAGAGATTGTGCCACTGCATTCTATCTTGGGTGACAGAGTGAGACAAGTGAGACCCTGTCTCTGGGAAAAAATGTACAGTCTAGAGAGAGAGAGAAATTAGGAATTACATATTAAATATTTTAGTAAATAATAAGGGAAGTACAGAGTGTAGATGTAGGCAGAAAATCTAACTCAGAAATAGGAGGTTAGAGACGACTTCCCAGAGGACATGACAACTAATTTCAAACTAAAAGATATTACCCAAGAGTTAATCATTTGGGAAGGGAGAGGAGGTGGGAAACAAAGCTCCAAGGCAAGGTTAGAAAGATGAGTGCTACCAGGGTTACCGAGAGCATGGTCTACAGGAAGGACTGAAAGAGGCTCAGCCTAGAGGCTGAGCATGGGGGAGAGGAGGAAGGAATTAGGGTACCAGTGAAGGATGGGTCATGAGAAGTCAGGGTACGAGTCATTCAGAACCTTGCATGTTCTAAGAAGGGTGGACTTGAGCATAACAACAATGGGGTTGGGGGGGGGTCATATATTAGAAGTTTTTAAGCCCAGAAATGCAGCTAGAGTTAGGGTGTGGAGAATGGACTGGAGACAGCCTGAGGACTGGGGCACAGAGGCCAGTTAGAGGCTACTTCAGTGATTCAGGAGAGGTGTGATGATGGTATTTGTGCTGGGGAAATGAAAACTGACAAACAGAAGGAGAAAAATTTGAAGACATCTAGGAGAAGAATTTGACAGAACTTGGTGACTGATAAGGGAGAAAAAACGATTCATGGCTTTGGTGACCACATATGGCAGTACTTTTCGTTGACAGGCTGGGGAGAGGAATGGGAGTGGAAATGAGGACAGCCTGAGATGGCTGTATAGTTTGAATTGTCTGTGTAGCACCTACTAGATTGCTGTTCCAGGGAAACAGATACGGGAACCATTAGTATATAAGAAGATTAGAGCTGGGAAAGCAGGGAAGACCATCCAAGGACAGTTTGTGGGATGAACACTGAAAAGAGGGAGCCCTAAAGAATATCAACAATTACTGAGAGAATGAGAAAGATCAGGTCCTAAAGCATCCACATCACACCCAAGGAGACCAGGAGAGCATGGTGTCAAGGAAGCCAGGCAAGAAAGGTCAAAGGGAGATGGTCAACAGTGTCAAATACAAGGAGGTTCAGTTAGATAAGGACTGATAAATGTCCATTACATTTAACACAAGGAAGATCACTGAGAACTTTGGCAAGAGTAGCTTCGGTGGAGCAGTAGAGGTGGAAGCCAGGCTGCAATGGGTTGAGGAGTAAATAGGAGGTGGCGAAGTGGAAACCAGAGAGTAAGCAACAGTGATTCTTACCCTGTGAGGATGAGGATGGAAAAGCCTGCGCACAATAAACGTTGTTGCTATAATACAGAACAAAATTGTTGCAACTATTTCTTTCCACCAGTGTAAGAGGAGAACGGGATCCTTTTTGCGGATATTTTTGTTGTAATTTGGGTTGTCGAGGAATCTGACTGTGATCTGTGTGCTTCGTTTGTTCCTTTCCCTCTTGTAGTATGGTAGATAATAACCATTATCTTCAAATAGAAACATTAAAAGGGTTTTTTTTAAAAAAGGTAATACAAAATAGGCCCATCTTTATTAACATGTATCTATTTTCCTATGAGTGATCACACTAATTCCTTTTAAGTTTCATCTTAAACACATTTTAAACATCTTGTCTATTTTTTCTCCCGTAAACATAGATATTTTCCTTTATCCTATAAGCATATTAAATTTTCTTTGTATTAAGTAATAAGACTCTTAAGGGCTGCTTCATTCATAACCTCATTAATAATTCCATTCTATAAATCCAAGAATTTATAATCAATCTTCTTTCAAGACATTTTTAGCTTTCCTTTTGCTTGGTATCATTAAAATACCAAATTTTACCACCAATTATTCTTTACAAAATGAAAGGAGAACATCCATGCTGTTTGGTTCAGTTTGGGCTATTAAAATGAGTTTGTCCCAAAAAAACAGCCTCTCTTTTTTTGTTTTCTATTTTGTATTATGTGGTCAGATTACATAATTCTCTTTTATCTTGTCTTTTTTTCTGAGACAGGGTCTTGCTCTGTTGCCCAGGCTGGGATGCAGTGATCTTGCCTCACTGCAACCTCTGCCTCCTGGGCTCAGGTGATCCTCCTGCCTCAGCCTCCTTGAGTAGCTGGGACTACAGGTGTGCACCACAATGCCTGGCTAATTTTTTTATTTTTAGTAAAGACAGGGTTTCACCATGTTGGCCAGGCTGTTCTTGAACTACTGACCTCAAGTGATCTGCCCATCTTGGCCCTGCAAAGTGTTGGGATTACAGGCATCAGCCACCATGCCTGGCCTACCTTGTCTTTCGATCAATGTCAAGATAAAGGCTGCTGTTTCTAGTTCAGAGCTGTATTTGCTTTTTTTTTTTTTTTTTAATTGATTTAACTTACGTAATAACTTTCCAGTGCTAGCATCTAGGGTAACTGATGAGGAGTCTATGTGTCTACCTGATGCAGATTTGAGGACTTCTTAATTGCACAACTGTTTAAAAGACTTTCATATCTGAATATATCCTAACTTTAAAAAACTGATGCTTACTACATAGAAATGTATGTAATGCCAAATTTCACCTATTCTTGATTTGCACTAATTTCTCTTGTCTGAGTAAGAAATTAAAATAACCTCATTGTGCATCATTTTCATGTAGTTTTATGAAAAACACATTTTCTTCATTATACAGGCTACTATACAGCCTACATAATATAGGCTGATAAATAAAAGCTAATAACAAAACTAACATTTACTGACACTATGTGCCACACATGATGTTAACAGACTTTGCATGCATTATCTCATTTAGGCCTCACAACAACTCAATACATAGATAATAGGATTACTATCATAACTTTACAGATACAGAAATTGAGACACAGAGGTGCTAGATGCGCCCAACCTAGCATGTGACAAAAATGGGATTTCAACCCTGGAAACCTAACTTTGGAACTTGTATGGTTAGTAATCATTCATGAAATGGTCTCCCAAGATATTCTATTTTCTATACTCTAATCAATTTTCTTCATTTAAATTATATTAATTAATTTTAAATTAAAAAATAAAATAAATAAAACTCAATATTTTCACTTACCATATGGATACTGCAAGATTGAAAGTGCACCATTACTGTACTCTTCATGAGAAAACTTATCATTACTAAGACATTTGTCAAATTCATCAGATCCTACCAAGACAGGAGTTCTGGAAGGAGAATCTAAAAGAAAATTATTATTTTCTTAATAATAACATTTCTTAAGTCTTAACTGTTATTACTTTAATAAAAATGTATGGGTTCAGTAATTGAATAAACTGATATTTAACCATAATTCGGTTCAAACATATAAGTTAAACAAATGCCCAGGGCTCTTGTCTTTGAAAAGCACACAGTCTTATAGAGAATGTGAGTCATTTAAGCAATTAAAATATAATATGACATGTGTAGTAAAAAATACATACAATATGGGAAGATAATGAAAGAAGTAGGTGTCCAGTATTTGATTTCAATTCATTCATGTCTCAAAGAATATGATGTGTTAACTAGATAATTCTTACCTAAATAGTCTTAACATAAATATGTTAAGAGCTAAATGTTAGTTAGGCATAGTCAGCGAACAATTAAGAGTTTTTCTAAGTTTCTAAAAATGTTAACAAAATAGAGAATATTTTATTAACATTTTTATAGAAGCAACTGCTGCTTCCTAGAAATAATGCTCTAAATGATAATAAAAATTCATTATTATCGTGAAATACCATCATGGTTTATCAATAAAATATAAAGTATACAGCAGTTCTTATCTCTGCAATATTCAAAATTAGGACAAAGAGAGTCAGGATTAGGTCTCTGAACACTAACAACATTTATAAAAGCTTACAATTCACTTACGAATTAAGGGTTTCCATTTGATTGTTGGCAAAGGAATAATTGCATTTTCATTACTGACAGATTCCAAAGCCTTGGGACTTGTAGGAAACTTTTCTGAAATTCTGACTGATGACTGCAGATACAGCTGGCCCCTATACATTCCTGAATCAACCAGAACATTGTCAATTATGCACTGATGTTTTTACAAAAAAGGTTTTTTGATTAAAAATTACTTTAATTCCAGTTATTTCTACATATACTACAAAACTCCTGTCAAAGAAGAAACATGCTTGAAGCATTCAAAAATAAACTCAATGGTTATTCATCAAAAACAGGGACAGAAAGTTACACACAAGGTCCATATGTTTGTCACTGAATAATAGCACATTTTCAGTAATACAGGAAAATGATTCCGGTACAAAAATTCAAAGATAGGAAGTCTTTGTACTCTCATGAAACAAATAGCTTAGACTAAGTAACTTTCTCCTTAAGAAAGTTTACCTAAACACCTATAATTCTTGAAATATGGCTAACAATTCAGTCAAATACTACCATAACATACATAACATGTTATTCCTTCAAATTCTTGCTTTTCATTCAGACTGACAGGTGGGTGGCAAACTGAGAGAGCTTATAGAATTTTATGAGTACTTAATGATCCAAACAAGTTCAAATAATTAGATTAAAGAGTTTTCAAAAATTTATAATATCGAAGGCTTTCAACTGCCCAGAAGCACACCAGAATTTTATTTTTTAGATAAGTTGTACAGATGCACTGATAAAAAAAGAAATAAACCTAATCTTAAAGAGGGGAGGGGCACAAACTGATATGGACGCAAACAAAAATATAGAAATATAGATAAAAGAGAAATAAATATAGGTAAAAACAAATATTGATAAAAAAGAAATAAACCTAAACTTAAAGAGGGGAGGGCAAAAACTGATATGGATGCAAATACATATATAGAAAATTGTAGACTTTGAGGATACATAGCGAATCACATAAATATATTTTATATGTAATTACATATAATTATATAAATAATTATATAATTATATATGTAGAAATAGAGTGTTGCCCTATCACCCAGGTAGGAGTGCAGTGGCATGATTATAGTTTGGGGTAGCCTTTAACTCCTGGGGTCAAGCTATACTCCCACCTCAACTTTCCAAGTATAGGTTTACAGAGGCGTGCCACCATGCCCAGCTAATGAGTAATTCTAAATCATATTATATAATACGAATATTTCTAAGCCTTTCTAATATAGGTTTCAGAGAAAAAGAATGTGCGACAGTAATTAAAAATTTCAGAATTGGGCTAGGCACAGTGACTCATGCCTGTAATCCCAGAACTTTGGGAGGCCAAGGTGGGTGGTTCACCTAAAGTCAGAAGTTCAAGACTAGCCTGGCCAACATGATGAAACCCCATCTCTACTAAAAATACAAAAATTAGGTGGGCATGGTGGTGGATGCCTGTAATCCCAGCTACTCAGGAGGCTGAGGCAGAAGATTTGCTTGAACCCATGAGGCAGAGGTTGCAGTGAGCCAAGATCACACCATTGTACTCTAGCCTGGGTGACAACAGCAAAACTCCATCTCCGTTAAGAAAAAAAAATTTCATAATTAGACAAATGGGAAAGTAGCAGGATTTAAAACTACTACAGGCACTCCTGAAGTAGGAAGGAACAATGTAAGAAGACAATCTAGATGTCAATGTGTACTACCATTAGATGAGATACATTTACTCACCCAAGTAAACACTGTTTTCTGTGGCTCCTCTGGCAGCTTCTACAATGTCTTCTTCATCTTCTAAAACATCATCATTAGATGTATAACTTGTATCATCAAAAAGACTGATGGGAATGACTTTCCCATCCTTAACTAACCAGGCAGATGCAATTGGAGTACAAAACTAAACAAAAAGGGAAAAAAGATCTTAAATAATTTAAGCAGTAGTTATGTAGTTCCAACCCATAAAAGACCATTTAAAAATCACACATTTCAAATATCAGCACAGGGAGCAAGCTGAGAGCCCCAAGTGGCAGTAATTTCCTTCTACTCAATAAGTTTGGTCAAACTGGGAGAGGAAGAAACATATTTATAAAACTTCAGTGGTGTTAGGTACCTGGTACTCCCATTTCAGATGTCCTCCCTTTTTACTGAATGCCACAACCTTCCAGTCAGCAACTGAAACTTTTATCACTATGTCCATTATGGCAGCTTCCTGTTCTTCCACATCTGAAATAATTTTAGACTCTTCTGTGTTCTCATTGGGTTTAAAGGTGCTTTCAATAAATCCAGCTCTAGTTTCCATGTCTGGAATATACCGAAGTTCAAAGTGGCCAACACTGAAATTCCACCTTAAATTTACAAAGGTGTGTTTTAGAAATTTACATTTAAATAAACGGAAAAAATAACATAGAACTCTACTAGATTGAAGAAGCAAATACTAAAATTATGTCATGAGAAAAAAAACAACTCAACATAACCTTCTAGAAAGGAGTGCTCTGCTGATTTATGCCACAAGAGGGCCCACGAGAACTCTGTCCTGACCCTGCAGACACAATGGTTCTGAGGGTTGTGGACTGACTGATGTGTCCCTTACAACTGCTAAGGGATACATTTTCTCTCAAAAAGGTACAAATGCTCGCACTTCTACATCAGAGTGATTTTCCCAAAACACATCAATCAATGTCACCTTTCCTAAGTAAGTTTCAGCAGCCTTATCCATGAAGTGGCAATAATAACATTTCCACTATGATTAGTAAATAGAAAAATCACTCAACTATTGAGAGTATATCATCTTATCACTTAGATATAAAATGGAATAGTTAAGCATTCTGACATTTATTGAAATAATTATATTTTAAAGAATCATGGATCTTAGGATCTCAGATCCTTCCTATTCTAGTAACTCGAAATTCTGTTAAGTTGGACATCTGCTGCTATGGTGGCTAAGCTCCCAGTGAGCACTCTAACACTTCAAAAAACAAAATCCAGCCAGGATAAAGAAAGTCAAGTTGTCTGCAAATGCAAAGCCCTATTCATAGTCCAAAGCAAAAAGAATAAATGCATTCTTAACTGAGTATGAAAACAGTTTTCAGGAAAGGAAACTGAATTACACTGCATCAAATCAGACAAAACTTGAAAGTCTGGTTCATTTTAAAAAAATAAAGATGGAATCTAAAGTTATTTTTACACACAGGCAATTCAAAACTTAAATATTAGGTTTAAAAAAATCAAGCATGTGATATAAGATCAGCATATCTAATCTAGATATCACATTTTTAAATCACATATTTAAATATAAAAATTACATAAGGGGCTCATTATTTAAAGAAGGAAACAGGTATTAGGCTAAATGTTTTAATACTTCAAAAAATTGAGTAAAATTATTATTTTTAAATTGGGATAATCAGACAAACATGAAACAACCTACAAGACATAATTAGAGTCAAATAGGTTCAAGCTCAAAGAAACACAATTTTGTCTTAACATCTTTCTGTATTCAAAGAACTTCGAGTGATGAGGTTGCTATAAAAATACCATTAACTTGAAACTAAACGAACAGTCATCACATGGGAACCCCTGTGGTTACCACATCCTGAAGCATATGGTGAGAAGTTTAGTTCAGAATCTGTTAATAACCATGAAACCATTTTTATTTTAGGGACCACATAGGATCACCAGAAGTCAGGAGTTCGACAGCAGCCTGGCCAACATGGTGAAACCCCATCTCTACTAAAAATACAAAAATTAGCCGGGTATGGTGACATGAATCTATAATCCCAGCTACTCGGGAGGCTGAGGCGGGAGAATCACTTGAACCTGGGAGGTGGAGGCTGCAGTGAGCCAATATCGTGCCGGTGTACTCCAGCCTGAACAAGAGAGCGAGACTTCATCTCAAAAAAAAAGAAAAAAGTTTTTAAGGCAACAAAATAGTTCACAAAATCTCCATAAACAGAAATCTAATAAATTTTGATATTAGATGTATTTCTAAATAATACCAACAGCAATACTATCTGAATACATACTTCTCATTGCCACTGCGAGGTCCAACAGCTCTAACAGTTTTTTGGGTGCGCTGTAGAAGCAGGATGTCTTCCTCTTGTTCCATTTCATCACTATCCCATTGGCGACAACCCAGAGCTGAACAGATATACCTCACCTGAAAAGACAAAATTAGATACAAAATTATTAAAAGAATACAACTTATAAGAGATCAGAAATATTAAAATAATCTCTGTAATTTTCAAAAAGTGAAAGGAAACTAAGGAAATGTGCATGAAGTACTCAAGTAATAAGAAGCATCAGTTAGATTACTAACTCCTAAAATGAGTTATTTAGAACCATGACAGTTCCAATGAATATTTATTTCAGGGAATGATTTTAAGGGTTTACATAATTTTAGCCTTGCTTTAGGGATTTCCACGGAATATACAAGAAGAAATAGATAGGCACTTGTGATAGCTTTGTAACAATACCATTAATAAAATTTCAGATGAGTTAAAAAAAATCAACCTTAGAGTTTCTGTATAACAGAAGTATTTGGTTTTTAAAAATTTGAAACTTTTCTGATAGCTTTTTGTATTCAAAAGTAACTCCCTCAAACTTTCACTAAAAGAAAAAAGGAAGACTTAATATAATCCAAACTAAAACCCTCATGAAAAGAAGCATAACTTCTATAATATCAGAATTATGTAGCAGCATATCAAATCAGAAAACCAGGTGACTGGGTTCAATCACCTGTTTGTTTACAGACGAGACTACTGAAGTAAACAGATTGAAGTGCTTGCTCAAAAAATGGCCAGACAGGATGGCATGGCCTCCTCAATACAGTGCAGAGGCACATTAGTGGAGAAGGCAGGAAAGCATCTGCAAGAGCAAGAAAGTGCTATGGGCCTAACACTTAGATAAGGAATTTTTACAGTTGAAAAAAATCAAGAGTAAAAAGATCATGTTTCTATCCTGCCTTATTTTAGTCCAAGGAAGAATATAATATAATGTATATAAAATGATTACATGTCACGGTGTTAAAGGGTTACAAAGATTTTTATTTTTTACCTTTGTAACAATACCATTAATAAAATTTCAGATGAGTTAAAAAAAATCAACCTTAGAGTTTCTGTATAACAGAAGTATTTGGTTTTTAAAAATTTTTACCTTTTAAGAAAGGTTTTATTTATTTATGTTATTTTTTTAAAGTGGAGTCTCAGTCTGTTGCACAAATTGGAGTGCAGTGGTGTGATCTCAGCTCACTGCAACCTCCACCTCCCGGTTCAAGTGATTCTCATATCTCAGCCTCCTGAGTAGCTGGGACTATAGGCATGTATGTGCCACCATCCCCAGCTAATTTTTTTATTTTTAGTAGAGATGGGGTTTTACCATGTTGGCCAGGCTGGTCTTGAACTCCTGGCCTCAAGTGATTCAACCACCTTGGCCTCCCAAAGTGCTAAGATTACAAGCTTGAGCCACCTGCCTGGCTGAAAGGATGTTTTTAATTAGCTACTCTTCATAACGGATTTATAAGACCTAATCTTAGAAGCAGATTATGTTATAATTGTATCTCAAGAGCTAATGTTGAGAAAGTGTAGGTTATTAACAGCATGACTTTGTTGTCAGTTAGATCTAAGTTAAATCTGACCTTGGAAGTCTATGAACCTTTAAAGTCCCAGTTTCCTCATCTATAAAATGAGTGCAAACTTTCCTTTTGGATCAGCTTATTATAGGATCAAACTATATAAATGAGTAGTAGCAATTATTCTTATCATTAGATTATTAATCTTTAGAAGGTTCTTCATCTGTCAAAATGAAGAGCCAAAAAAAAAAAAAAGTTACCCTTAGGAAGACTGTGCAGATTGCAAAATAATGTATAAAAAAAGCACCTGAGACTGGGCACAGTGGCTCATACCTGTAAACCTGGCACTTTGGGAGGCCGAGGTGTGCGGATCACTTAAGGCCAGGAGTTAGAGACCAGCCTGGCCAACATGGTAAAACTCTGACTCTATTAAAAATAAAAAATTAGCCAGGCATGGTGGAGCATGCCTGTAATCCCAGCTACTCAGGAGGGTGAGACACAAGAATCACTTGAACCCACTTGAACCTGAGGGGGCATGGAATAGAGCTGAGATCAGCCTGGGCAACACGGTGAGACTGTCTCAAAAAAAAAAAAAGCACCTGAGACACAGTAGACCATATTTATTAATTCTCTCCCTCCTGCTATTCCTGGCTCTGCCATTTATTGTTACTAGTTTCCCCTTCCTACCTCACAGTTCTCGTATTAAAATAAATGACAACATCAGGGGAAAATTACAGTAAACCCCAACTAGTAATAAGTATAGTTTAATAAATTATTTTTTCTATCTTAATATATTCTGATTTCCCCAAAATAAATTCAGCATTTTCACTTACCTTTCCACTATATGCACTGAGTCCATATGTAGTAAGAGATTTTCCTCCAACCAAAACAACATCATCTCCAAATTTATAAGAAGATTCAAGAAGTGATTCAACTGTGAAAGGAACGGTTTCCATACTCTCACGGTCTCCGTCCCACTGGAAGAGGTCTCCATCCAAGGAAGGAATGATCATCTTATTCCCAAATACCTAAAACAGCAGCAACTTTTTAAAAGGGCTATAACGTTAAATATTTTTTTCTTATTTCTCCCAGAAAAATAAAAGGGTCATACGGTTTAAAGAATAGTAATTAAGAGCTAGAGTCTTGAGCCTGATGTAGTCCAGCTTCCTTCTGAGTGGCACATGACACAGCACAGTCCATCAACCAAAAGTAATTTAAAAGAACTGCCAACCACTCCCAGGCCCTACACACAGTATTCCAGTAAAGTTTTTCTCAAACTCAGTTTACCATGGGCCAAGAGGGTCCCATAATGATAGGTAAACTACCAGAAGAGAGTTTTATGATCAAGTGAGTTCAAGAAGAGGTTACTATAGGAGCTCTTATAGCCATTAACATGTTAACATGTAATATGATTTTCTAGGAAATAGGCAATATGTGCAGTATTTTTCTAGGGCTATTTTTATCAAGGCCAATTACTGTCATAGACTCAGCTCCAAGGAACACAGGTTTGGAGATATTGCCTCAAGCAGTATCCCATCCCTTCTTTTTTATTTGCTTTCTCAAATCTGCAATGAGCTAGAAGCCTGGTAACTAAGCTTACCGGTTTTGTGTCCTCAGTTGCTCTTCCTTCTTTTAACAATGCTTATTAAGGGCCTACCTATGACCTGGCACATTCTGATGGTTGGGATAGATCAGTGAGCAAAATAAACAAATCACTGCCTTTGTGAAGCTTAAACTCTGGTGTCACAAGACAAACAACTTAGTAAATAAATAAATTATATGGTATGTTAGGTGCTAAATGCCATTAAAAAAATGGAACAAGATAGAGGAAGAATGCATGGGGTGGAGTGGGGATTATCAATAAAGAACTCAGGGTAGACCTCACTGAGAAAGTAACATTTAGGCAAAGTCTTAAATGAGAAAGTTAACCAGGCCAGACCAGGTTTTGCAAAGGCTCTTAGATGGAAGTAACCCATCATGTTTGAAAAACCACAAGGAAAGTGAACAGGCTGAGAGGCAAGGGTGGAGGTGAAAGCAGGCAGAAGGTAAGAGATTAGTTGATAGGCAGTTGAGCTGTTTAAGGCGGTCAGGTTTGGGATATAATCAAAAGTAAAGCCAATAGGATTTCATGGTGGATTCTCTTTATGGCATGAGCAAAAGAATGGAGTCCAGCATAATTCCAAGCTTTCTGGCCAAGAATATCTTATCTCTTCAGTAAGTTTCAGTACATGTCTTTGTGAGATTGACCTTTGCATTTAAAAAATGTATAAGTTGATCTCCATCAATTAATGACACAACTATTTTCCTGATTATCCAGGCTCAAAACTTTAGGAAACGGGAACACGAAAGAAATATGAGTTAACAAAATTTCTCTCCACAGTTTTTTGTTCTTTAAGCAGCAGAAGGCTTTCTTTAAAGTGATACTTATTTGAAACCTTGCATACCGTAACTGAGAGTTCTCATTTGGTGTTCAACTCACACATCTACTTTGCCCCCAAACCTGGGTTTTTGGAGGACAGATTAAAAAACCACTATTCTAATTCATTTCTTTCTTTCATTTTCCAGGTCAAATCCTTATTAGCTTCTGCCTGAGCTACTATAATAGCTTCTTTACAGTTCTAAAGTGGATATTTCCTTAGTCTTCTATGTATCTTCCAGATTAATCTCTTTGAGTCTGAGTTAAGCTTGTTATGACACTATTAAAAAATCTTCAACAGCTATTATCTTCTTAATAAAGGCACGAAATCCTAAAGATCCAAAATCCTTTAGAGGACATTCAAGTCCTCTAAATCTGACCTTAAACAGACCTTTCATGCCTGTCTTTTACTTCTCCCCAAAGTAATCAGGCATTACTTTGAAATGCCTGATTAGAAATCAGGGGTAGAAATCAGGCATTTATTTAAACACAACATTTAATGTTACTGATATTGTTCAGTTATGTCATTGTCAATGTCATTTCTTCTCTCTGGAACATCTTTCTATACCAACTCTTTTCACAGAAATCCTACTTGGCTTTCAACCTAGCATCATATATATTTTTGCTTTGAAATCTAAGAAAATTTTGGCAATGTAAGTTTGCTGATAAAAATCTTCCCATTCCTTAAGTTTGCTTCTTGTTGTAACTATAATCTGAGACACCATGATATTCTAACAAATTGTTCATTGTATCTCCAAGAAACACTTATCAGGTCTGCTAATCTTTATACATTTATATTTATACAGTAGCTGTAAAAGCAGTGCACTCATACTGGTGCCCAAATTTTGTTATCTAATTCCATTCTCCACCAAAAGGAACCAGGGCTCCTCAAAGAAATGGTGGATTCCAGGGCTAGGGTAAGGTAGATGCAAGATAAGACTTTACCATCTTATTCTTTCAAAAAGCAAGGATGTACTCGAAAAGGGTGGGGGCATGCCACTGGCCAAATCTGGGACAATTTAAGCAACAAAATAATTAATTACTGAATTTTAAAAAATAGAAATCCACACGTTCATACCAATAGCAAACAGATAAAATAAATAATATATGAGGGAAAAGTAATGGCTGGAGTTGGGAAAAATAGCATTTTGCCACCATCACAGCAAAGACTGGGTCAGACCAGAATCAGCAAGGGTGCTAAATTAAGGTGGAAATTTTGATGAAGAACAGAATATCTACATGGTCTACAGTGTCTACCTACAGAGTACTTATTAGTTACAAGAAATTAAAAAATAAAAGTTATATATTATATAATGGAGATAATACCTTGATTGGATAACCAAAAGTAAAAATCATCATTGAGCGTTAGATGCCCTGAGAGAAGCCACATCACCTATGTAGTATTCCAGCCAATAATGTACAACCTGAATCTCAGCACAAAGAAACATCGGACAAGCACAAAGTGAGGAAAATACTGTTTTTAAAACAAAATAACAGAGAAACTGTGTTCTTAAAAAATCTCGGTGTCAGACAAAGGCTGTGGAAAAAAAAAAAAACTAGATAAAAAGAGGATAATGTAACAAATAAATGCAATATCTGACCCTAGACTAGATGCTGTATTGAGGCAGAGAATGCTATAAAGGATGTTATTAAGTGAACTGACAAAACTCTTATATGGATGGTATTGTATTCATACAAATTGATAACGCTTATAACTTTTGTAATTATGTAAGAGAATATCTATATTAGGAAATATACACCGATGTATTTAGGAGTAAAGGACCATGATGTATATTGAACTTATCCTCAAATATTTCAAGAAAAACAAGTGTGTATGAGGGGATGGGGGAGAAGAGTGAGAGTGGGCAAGAGGACACAGGCAAGCATATTTAAATGATAAAGCAGGCAACCAGGTTTGGGTAGGTAAAATCTGGGCATATAAGATTGTTTTTTTTTTGGTACCATGTTTATTTGTGCAACTGTCTATAGTTTGAAATTATTTCTAAACAAGAGTTTAAAAACAAAAGAAAGGTACTCAAGAGTCTTGCAGGAGCTCTATAGTCAAACTCAAGACTATATCATTAAAAGAAGGTTTACCATAATTCTAGACACTAAAAATTCCTAACTATTCCTACTTACTGAAAAAAACATTTGATTTTGAATAAGTTCTCCAGTGACATTGATATGTACCTTAATTAATATTACCTTAGAGTCTTAGCATTACTACTTTATTCTTTGTTTTCTTCTATTTCTTGGTGATAACAAATTTTATTGTCAAAAATTAAAACCTTTCTATCTTTTGTAAAATCTCCAGCTTGTAAGTTGCCATTAGAACAAATTTAGGTTACATTATGCACATAATCTATAATAACAATATGTAGTATTTAGCCAATATGATCTTCTATTTTGAGTTACATATCAGATAGAAAATCAAGTATTTACCGTTATCTACCTCCATATTATATTAAATATTCTATATTTTATCAGAAGACTAGATTCAAATGATAATAAAGTTAAAAATAGATATTTCAGTTGGTCATCTCAACAGCAATATTAGGTTAAAGTACAAACAGGAAAGCAGGTGTGCATGACTAAAAGAGGAAGAGGAGCAAGTGTGTCTGCAGCAAACAGCGTTTATTATTTCCTCTTATTTCTTCTTCCATTAAAAACCTCTTTTTCTCTAAAGCAGTAGCAGGTCCTTAGAGAATACAATGTCCCCTAAGTGCAAAAATCAACTGTCAAACTAATATAGAATAAATTCCGTTTTTGCCCTAAGGATGATCTCTGCACCACCAAAAGTAAAACCAACCAACCTTATCTTCAATTAAAAATACAGTTTAAAAAAACCAAGAAGATTTGATATGATTGACCATACTGAGAAAACTGCCTAGTTTTAAAAGTTAAATGCTCAATAGCATTAACTCAATAAATGCAAAACACAAAACAACAACAAAGCATTATGATTCAATAATGAATCATCATGTCATATTTCTGGATTATGATTTTAAAAGTTCACTTTTAAATAGCTGCTCTTCACTAATTGGTTGCTTATGAGTCATGCACATGGCTGCTGACCTTTGTGCCAATCTTTGTCAAGTCTTTCAGGATGCATATGTGAAAGCAGATGGAGCTTTTCCTTGAGAGCCACAGAAGCAATGTATGCAGGCAGTTCAGGTACAGAGATGACATCATCCTTCACAATAGCATTACCTCACCCCCTAAGCATAGGAATGAGTCACCCGTTAGTCAGCTGCAAATCTCTTGGTAGAAAAAAATTTAGGTTACGGTGATGCATTTTCACATCCCACTGATTTGTTCATGTAAGCAGCTATTTGTTCTGATTCGCTGCTCTGCATCTCAAACTCACTGTGTGACTTGTTTCTGCCTTAAGTCATTTTTAAAAGTCTAAATTTTTTGTATTTATTTTGTTTTTCCCTGTTCATAATTTAAAATATAAGATGCTAGCAAACTCAGTACCAAAGATCCAGAGTCTATCTGTGTTATCACAAAGCAGTTTAGCAAAGTAATTCAGTTTCTTAACTGAATTACTAAGTGGTACAATGAATACCAGTGGCACATGTAATCAGAGACCTCTATTTTAAATTAAAATGT